CAACAAGTATAGCAACGGTGCCAACGGACATCCCTGTCGCACACCCGCTGTAAGAGCAACTTCACGCGGAAAAAAAACCATTTACTACCGCTTTCGACGCTGTATCGGATAACAGAATTTTAGTCCAACTAATGAACCCTGCTCCTGCGCCCATAGCATCCATTGCTTCAAATAAAAAATTACGATCTAAGGAATCGTAAGCTTTAGCAATATCCAAAAAAGCCAGGAGACACGACTGTCCTGTCGTCGACATAAGTTGCGGTAGATGCCGCAGGAAAAGAACATTTGCACCTATCAAGCGCTCTGGCAGGAAAGCAGACTGCTCGAGCGTGATAATTCGCCCTAGTATTGGACTCAGCCTACGGGTTAATATCTTGGTGAAAATCCTGTAATCTGTATTCAACAAGGTAATCGGTCGATAACTACCCGGGGAGGTGGGAGACCCCCGATTTTTATAAATAACCGTAATAGCACCTTGCAAAAAGCCATCTGGGTGCATTTGGGTTTGGCCCATGGCTGTATACAGTTGAGCAAGAACTGGTGCAATCTCGTTCCGACACACCTTGTATAATTCAATTGGGATGCCATCTAGACCGGGCGCTTTGCCTGGCGTCGCTTCCTTGAGCACCGCTTCCACTTCAGCGTCAGACACCTCCGATCTTCCTGCATGATACGCATCCTCCTCCGGAATGACAAGGTGGCGATTCCGCAGCGCCTCTATAACAGCCATCCTAGCCTCTTCAGTCACATGAGTTGGGGAGGAACAAATCTCTCCCCAAAAATCCGCAACCATCTGTGGCAACTTCATCGTGTCTGTAATAAGACGTTTACGTGGTAAGGTGTTAACCATGGGCTGGCATAGGTGTAGTTATGGCCGCGGTAGTGGCGTAGGACCTCTCATCTGGTACGAGCCCACATCAGTCCGCCTCTATTCGTAGGACACCAGCGTTTTGGGTGGTATGCTGCTCCTTACAAGGACTGCTCGTAGCGTGCTCGGTTGAATGCTCGGTAGCGTGCGAGTTTACCTATCATGATGTTTGTTTGCATATCCCTCCAAGCGAGAGGGCTTGGACCTATGCTGATGTTCGTTACAAGAATTGAACTGAGGACTGATGCTACACGTCGTGTATACGCGTTGCTGAGCTTGCAATGGGACGCGCCCACGATGAAAGGTATGCACGTAAATTTGCCCGTGCGCCGAACGCCTTGTTACTCTGCAACAACACTCACAATATACCGCTGCATTATTCTCTCCACTCCTGCCACATCTTGTTTCACCGACGTACTTCGGCACCTTCCGCATCTATATACTTCACCAGGACCCCCATGTTTGATACAGGGCGATGGATGACGTACAACTAAGGTCACACTTGGCAAGAGAATATAAAGCTGCCAACTGTGATCAACCTAGTATTCCTTAAATGAATGAAAGGAATATAATGCTGCTAAAACTATCACTGTTGGAAAACATAGGTGGCGCCGCAATGCTCACCCTCTGATCCACATAAAGCCTTGAGGAATCATAAGACATGTTTGGATGGCGTCCCAGTAGCTTAAGTACTCAATCCATTGCTGGCACAGCAAGCTGACGTATGGATGCGCGGGAAGCCCACCACCCAACCTCTTGCCGTTTCGGACATAGGGACCATACAGGCTTAAATTCAATGAAGAATGCTGGAACAAACCGTTGATTTGTTTGTTGTAAGCAAGGGGTGCGGCTTTACACAAAGAGGCGATAATAAGAATGGAGTGGGAGTCATGCACATGGGCGCCCTTGCATGGCATAAGGAGTGCGAAACATAGGTTGATAACGTTCGTTGTATGAATGTTGGTAAAATATTGTTCAGGTTTGGTGGTGTTTTGTAGAGGTCCACTTCCTGGCCATCGGGGTTGCGCGAGCTTCTAACCCAACCCTGACGAGGCCAACGAGTGGATCATCGATTTAGCATACCATCCTCGTTTGCTGCTGAACTTTGCTCGTGGGTCCGATATCGTGTTTACGTGGTCTGGAGAGGATTTTAGCGATGAAGAAATAGGACCCTTTCCTAGATTTATGATCTTCATGATCGAAATATTCGTTTCAGGGCCATGAGTAAATGATTCTGCCATGCGTTCTGGTAGATATGCATGTCTGGTGTTACCGGTGAGCTAACCCACGAACGCAGGATTGGAGTTTTCCCACATGCAGCTAGCTTCTGCAATGGGATATGATGAATATTGAATGCAACATGTATTCGCGTCTTATCACGATGCATAAAAAGACGCACGCGATACGTCACGTCTGTAAAAGGACGCACGCTACTAGCGAGCGTGCTCATCGCTATCAAAGGATGCCGCACATAGGGAGCCTTCGCTATCCACGTCCGCTTCTTTGAAAGCGTGACGCTGGCATTAAGCCTATAAGGTCCCTATGTCCGAAACGGCAAGAGATTGGGTCATAGCTTCCCCCGTATCCATACGTCAGCTTGCTGTGCCAGCAATGGATTGAGTACTTAAGCTACTGTGACGCCATCCAATCATGTCTTTTGATTCCTCAAGGCTTTATGTGGATCAGAGTGTGAGCATTGCGGCGCCACCTATGTTTTCCAACACTGATTGTTTTAGCAGCATTATATTCCTTCTATTCATTTAAGGAATTCCCACTTGGCAGCCTTATGTTCTCTTGCCAAGTGTGACCTTTGTTGTACGTCATCCATCGCCCTGTATCAAAAAGTGCAAGGCGAAGTGGATCCAGGTCATCGCCCTGAATCGGCCGGGCGGGGATTAATGAGCGCTATTAGATATGGCGTGGCTTATTACTCATTCCTGATTTCGGTGGCCCTTCACCCCTTCATGTGGCCCGTTCGCTGCCCGCCTGCCCGCCATTGCTTGAAAGGAAAAGTTGAAAGGGAAGTTATCGGTCAACTTCGCAGCAGCAGCCCGCCCCTCACCTGCGTTCCGAAAGTTTGAAGTACGGAGGTCTATTTAAATCCTCGTATTTAAGCTGCATACATGAGACGTTGATAGCTTCTTGCCCATTCCTGAAGGTTGTGTGAGGGCGTCGTGGGATACACGCGTACAGGTTTCTGTTTACCAGTTGCCTCTGCTTGCTTGGTGACGGCCGAGACCGATCCGATCCGAGTCCCTTACTTCCGTAGGTTTGCCGACCGCCGGCGCCAACCGTTGGCCTGTAATACTCCCACATAGGCACCTTCTGTATGCAGATTGCAAGCCACCTGGTTGTGGAGGTGTTTGCGCTGAGCGAGTTCCCGCACAGTATTTCCAATTGACTTCGCGGCCTAGCTACTGAACTACTGAGCAACGAATGGCCATGTTCCGACCTTTCGTCTTTGCTGTTGCATTTCTAGGTACGTACCACGTGAGTGAATAACCATGAATCTATTTGTTGCCACGCACTGCTGCCGCCATTGTCACCGGCGGGCTGCGGTTGCGTCAGCAGGCAACCGAAGCAGCAGGTTTCACATTCCACATGCGACACGCTTGTTTCCTTTTTCATCGTGGCCAGTCTTGATTGAGGCTTGGTTCGCGAGCAGCCGGAAAAGAGCTAGCGGGGGTGTGTGGGGCGGTAGATAATTCGGCCCCGAGCCTGCCGCGTGATTTTCCGGAGACAAGCAACGACGATTGTCACTGATATGCCATACTTATGGGACTGAGCGATGCTCGTGACAACTAAAAGCTGTCTGTACAACACATCATACGTATGCATATTCTGCTGCACATCATGCGTACACCGTGCGCATCTCCGGCCTTGCTCCGCCAGGTAGGCAGGCTTGATGATCCTTCCCTTTTGGAGATGGTTGTCTGTGCGAACGGACACGGGGTAACGAAAGCCTTTAGACTGGGTTTTCCTTAGCTGATTCCCGATGCTACAACTGGTCGTTATCTGGTTTTTGCTTTAATGCTCCACATGTGTACGGCAGGAAAGAACGGGAATAATTAAGAAACGTATTGACAAGGACGAACTACGTCAGGTACAAGGCCGCCGTAACAAGAGATCCTGACTGACGCAAGTTGGGAATTGGCTTTAAAGTCTGCTCCATATTTGCAAAGCTCACGTAATGACTTTTTAATCATATCGACCTCAGATAGACCAGCCGACCCCCTCCCCATCAGGCGGCATATTGGCGGCAGTGGGATCCTCAGCGCAGACGACTGCCACTACCTCGGGTGAGTGAGTGCAAAGAGTGCGTGGGGATACAGGTGTACATGCGGCGTACGAGCGACCGAAAGCCTGTAAGCGACCAGTTCCATGATGTCCACGCTTCCCCCGCGCTTCCCCACACACGTGTTCCCCTTGCGTGTTATTCTTCCCAGCTGTCTATACAAACAAGTGGTGACGGCGGGTGTGCCTTAAATGTGTGCGTGCAGGCTGTATTGAGCTTGCGAATGCAACCACTTCCGTCTGGGGCACAGCCAACATCGGGCCTGGCAAGCCTTTCACGGACACACAAGCCAAGTGGATTTGGTCACATGCTGGTGCGGATCTGGGCACGTCTTCCGGCGTGAGGACGACCATTTCCACCACAGTGACTGCTGCGGCGCCAGGCACACAGACCTTGCTTCACCTCATCGTTGAGAATTTTGCAGACGTGTACCTTAATGGAGCTTTCGTTACCAGGCTGACAGGGGGCTGGAGGAACCAGCAGGAGTACACCAACCGGCCCCTCCAACTTACCCTAGCCGCTGGCACCAACACGCTCTCCGTGGCCGCTTATGGAGCTTCATATGGGGGTCGAGCTGGCTTGCTGGCCTCCCTCACCAGCAGTGATGGCACAACCGTACTGGCCCGCACCAGCAGCGACTGGACCTGCAGCGTGGACGTGGTTGGAAGTCGAAGTAAGTTTCGGCTTTAGTTCAGCTGCTCGATAAACGAACAAGGGTAGCGGGATTTAGATCTACTCGTATAAACGGAGTCCTCTCCATGCATGCCGTACGTATGTTACTACGTGAATGTATCTGTATCTGTATCTGTATCTGTATCTGTATCTGTATCTGTATCTGTATCTGCATCTGCATCTGCATCTGCATCTGCATCTGCATCTGCATCTGCATCTGCATCTGCATCTGCATCTGCATCTGCATCTGCATCTGCATCTGCATCTGCATCTGCATCTGCATCTGCATCTGCATCTGTATCTGTATCTGTATCTGTATCTGTATCTGTATCTGTATCTGTATCTGTATATGCATCTGTATCTGTATCTGTATATGTACATACATACATGCGTGCTGTAATGCATAAATTTTACATTCCTGTATTCAAAGTCTCGGAATAGTTGTCGAATCTAAGAAAGCAATAATTTAGGTAGCTTCGTCCGCCAGTCGCGACTGGACGGTCGTCCGCGTTTTTGCACGCAAAATCGCAATGCACGAGTACTTCAACTACTCTAAACCTTCCAAGCACGTAGGTAACCTCTAGTCATGTAGCTTACCTGTCTAACGAATGCATGGTGCGTGTGTGCATGTGTGCAGATTCCATTGAGGTTGCCCCCGCTCTCAGCTCGATCTGGGGAACAGCCAACATCGGGCCCGGAAAACCCTTCAACGACACCCAAGCGAAGTGGATTTGGGCACACTCGGGGTCGACTGTCTCCAGCTCGTACTTCCTAAGGCCTATATTCACGACCATGTTCGTAGTGCCGCAAGACACAAGCGCTCTGCTGAGCCTCATGGTCGATGACCGTGCGGACATAGTCTTCAATGGCCAGATGGTCACTGCACTGGAGTGGGGTTACCTGGCAGGGCAGTACACTAACCGGCCAGTACGGCTGAACCTGAAAAGGGGCATCAATACACTTTCGGTGACAGTGACGAACTACAACAACCCTGGAGGCCCAGCAGGGTTGCTTGCCTCCCTATCCAGCAGTGATGGCAGTAGTGTGTATTCACGCACCAGCAGCAGCGCCTGGGTCTACAGCGCCTTGGTCAGCTCTAATCCAGGTAGGAAATGGTTTGGTGGCTATTGTATAATTAGACGCCTAGCTGATTCGTTGGCCACTCAGTAAGATGGGGGCACTTAGTAAGATGGCATGCTGCACTATAACTACCAGCAGCAGTTGTGTTCTGGACATATGGCGATAATAACTCCTGCAAGCTGACAACGGGATGCGGGGTCTCATTACTTAGCGGGCAGCAGCAGCATGCGTGCGTCCTGCGAACACAGGAGCGCAAATCAAAAAGCTATATGTAATGAGCTGTAACTGTCGTTTCTTCCATGTGCGCCTATGTAGCAGCTGACCGCTGAAAAGGTCTCTCGAGTTGCTGGCGGTCGCGCTCTGCGCGTATTTATAGCACCGTACTGTGTACCGGCTGCTACATTCCCCCCCCTCTTGAAGGGAACCGTCCCGGGCCCTTAGAGCCTCGTATACCGCCAGCCTGTGCCTACCTTCGCCTACCCTCGGGCAGTGGGTATTTACTCCACGTCACGTCATGTGCCGACTCACATGCGCCTAGCCGTCTTCAGATTTTTCAGGCACAGAGACAGTCCAGTCGGTTCAGCTTTTTTTTATTTTAATTTTTGTGCGATATTCGTTCACTGAGTCGCCACACCCGAATACCACTCGAACGTGATCGGTGGGGGTTGAACCGACGACTTCAGAATCGTGAATTTTCACGAGGTCTCGATACCAAATGTAGCAGCTGACCGCTGAAAAGGTCTCTCGAGTTGCTGGCGGTCGCGCTCTGCGCGTATTTATAGCACCGTACTGTGTACCGGCTGCTACAGCCTGCATCTTGGTGTTCCTTCTGTAGCTGCGAACACGGAAATGCCAACTAGTTGGAGGGAGCGACGAGCAAACGAAAGCGCCCAGCATGGCAAATGAACAGTTTGATGTAGTTTGACGTGCATTATTTAAAAGAACCCTGAGTTTTCCGGTGGTGCACATGCATGCTGTTGTATGTGCATGTATTAAGACTTACGCAGCTCCTAATCCCTCCTACGCTGATCCAGCTTAATCCCACAGAGTTTCCATGGCGGGGATCAGCGCCGGATTTAAAGCTAATCCCGTCCCTTAATCCGCACTGGAAACAGGCCCTAATACATATGCGCGCATATCAATATGACGGTGCCCTTGCGCACGATATGCTGAAGTAATCAATGCTTCCCCTGCGCTTTCATTCATCTCAATATTGGCCGTGCCGCGTGCGCGCTTGCACGCAGTGGTGCATGCGGTGGGAGCTCGGAGACTCATCGCAGAGAATGTCGTCAGAACGCGGATCGTTGGGGACCTTCTTTATGTTACCTTGGATAACATTCAGCAGTGGCTAATCCGTGATAGCGAAGGAGCACTGATACCGCTCAGTGGCGGTTACATACCACCCGGAAGGGACTCAAGGGGTATCCCCGTTTCACCTGGTGCTGTGGTGGAGCTGGTGAGTGTATTGTAACGTGTGCGCATCGATTCCCTTAGAAGTGCATCGCCACTGGCCGAAGTGTGATGAGGGGAGCGAAATGTAGTAGGTACTACAGCGAGCGCCAAACCAGTAGTGTCAAAGGTGCTGTACACAGCAGGAAAGGAAAGAGAGCTGGCGATACTTATTTGAATGAACGTCAATCATTTGGATGTGTCGCATCTATATATATTATACGTCACATGTGCGTCACACTACCCTTGGCTATACCATGGTATCGCTCCTTGTGTGCGTGCGCATGTTACAGCCGTTGTGGGGGTACACAAACAGGCGTCGGCCAGAGACCTGCTGATAGCTATTCATGATGCAGGTATGATGTGAAGACCCTTCTGAACGAGTCGTTCTGATACAGGAACAGCAGGCGAACCAGCATTATTCCAGCAGGACAAATACTGGTGATGAGCAAGTTATTTGGATTATTGCTGGACCATATGGTCCATGCAATGCATTGCATGACATTGCATTGTATGTATGCATGCCAATCTACGTACTGGTCAGCAGCAGGGGCCTCCTTTCAAAGGAGGCAAGTTGTCGGCAAGGTGCCGGCAAGTCGCCAGCGAGCATATGAAACATCGGCAACAGCAGCGGTGGTGGTATTCGTGAGTGTAATAGGAGTTCAGCATGCTACCTGCTGCTGCTGCAGCTGCTGCTGCTGCAGCTGCTGCTGCAAGCAATAACGCAGCAGCAAAGGTCTTCCTTGACTCCGCTTGCTCTGGCCTTCAACAATTTGGAGCCAAGGATTATTAAAACGTTTCGCGTGTAAAAATAAGTTTTCAGGCCGTATTTTTGCAGTCACCAGTTCCAGAATACCAATAAGTTGTTACGTGCCTCAATTACTTTTTTCATCCCCCCTTGCTTCACACGGTTGGGTCATGCAATCCATGCATGCCAGCTCTGTCTATGCTGCACTGCGGTCTCATCACATACCACATGCTGAACGAGTAGTTCCCACGTGGGTGCATCCGGATGCATGGATCCAGAGCACATGCTTACTTGTATGTGAATCGGTGAATGCACGTATGTACAGGACTGTCTTTTTAATGGGGCGACGGGCGAATGCACACCCGACAATTCGACTACCCTGACCACCATCCGCCTCACCCCAGAAGCCCTGCTAAGTGCTGATGAACCCATCTACCAGCGCCTCCTGGTCATGGTTCTCGACTACCCGGCTTGCGGCTTCCCTGCTACCATCACAGAGGAAGAAATCCGGACCCTCTACCTGGGCCCAAATGGGGATGGCAAGGGGGGCCTTGCTGAAAAGTACACGCAGTGCTCCTATGGGAAGTTCAACCTTAACATAACTGCCTTCCGGGCTGTGCGTGTGACGCACCAGTGTTCGCCACCTATCACGACTAGTTGTGCCGCCTGGGCAATGTCCACCAAGGCGGATGCAGCCACCAAGCCCCTCATTGGCCCTGCAGCCTTCTCATCCTTCAGCCACTACACCTACATAGTGCCACCGGGCCTTCAACCAGTGTGCCCCTGGTCAGGGCTGGCATATTTGCCGGGCCGACAGGCCTTCCTGCAGACATCAGCCAATGGAGTGTACAGATGGGCAACAATAATGCAGGAGGCCCTACACAACTATGGTATGTGTGATGGGTGACTGCCTGAGTGTATTGATATCTATCGCTGATTGATGCTGGACCAAACAGTAATGCCCAAACATGCAACTTACAGCAACTTGGGCGTTAACGCTTGTTTTCTTCTAAAACCTACTTGCAAGCCATTTGATGGTGTTAAAATCAAACTTGTAGGGCTTTGGTAGCAACGCTTCGCTAAGTAGTACCTTGATCTTTAGCATGGCAGGCAACCCATAAGTGATATACATGCATCCTAATTCTGCTGCATGAAGGTCTGTAAAATTTAAATCATATGTAAGTCGTACTCTGGTATAATAGAAAGGGGACGGTCCCTCTCTCTTCGTATGAGATACTCGGTAAACAAGTCTAATAGCTATTTACGATTCGGCTTCCAACCTGTATTATCCTAGTTCTCAACCAGGGCGCCAGCTAGTACTCTATGTGCTGCTCGTTACATGTGCACAGGTCTCTATCACTCTTGGCAGAACGGTATTGAGTACGGCGACTACTCGACAGCCATGGGCCGCGGCAATGCTTGCCCCAACGCTGCGGAGATCTCCCGCATGGGCTGGGCCACACCCGCGGTCGGAGGTGACCAGCTGAACAGCAGTGCCTTGCTGCCAGGCACTACGAAAACCTTTGTGCTGCCTGCCACCTACCTCACCGGCAGCAACAACTACCTGCGTGTCACACCCGACTGGCTGAGTATGTACAACGACTCAAAGTCAGCTCTGAACCTGTACATGGCTGTCCGAGTAGCAAGGGAAGGCGATGCTGGCTTAGGACAATCATACGCTTCCAAGGTTAACATTCATGAAGTAAATGCGACGATGGTGAGCGGTGCCTCCAAATACCTATCACGAAACGTTGGATGCGATATTTGTAATTGGTTTTGGGTGTCGAAAGCAGGCATGGATATTTCGCTACTGCAGTGCAAACTATCTAAGTGATATTTCGCTACCGGCACGTGCACTGATATTTCGCTACCGGCACGTGCACTGATATTTCGCTACTGCAATGCAAACTATTTAAGCGTTTTTTCTACTGTTGCTGCATGCAGGATAATGGCTTACCAAACCTCTATGCAAACAGCGACCGCAAAATCCAGTTCATCAACGCCGTCAGCCCCATGTCCCAGCTGACCTTGGATGTCTACAACCTAGTCGTGTATGGGGGATCATGGGTCGATACGGACACCTTGAGGGTGCACCTCTGCCGATTTAAGAACTCGCCTTTTGAGTGTCCTTCCCTCGGCGACCTGGAAGCCCAGCCACCTCCGCCCCTTTCCCCGCGGCCCCCGAGCCCGCGACCTCCTAGACCTCCACTGCCAAGGCCACCGTCACCTCCTTCCCCCCAGCCACCTGTGCCACCACCACCTCCTTCCCCCCAGCCACCTGTGCCACCACCACCTCCTTCCCCCCAGCCACCTGTGCCCCCCCCACCC